CCAAAAAATAAAAGCGAACGAGTTTTTGACAAGGCAAACGTGGGAAAATCTGAAAACTCGGTCAAAATCGGTCAGGGCTTTTCTTTTTCTGCACGACTTTTGTAAATCATCGCTTGGGTTTAGGAAAGAAGGAGGAGGGTGGCCGGGTCGGCTGATTGGCCGGCCGCCCTGTCAATCGTTCAGTCGTTCGGTCAATCGGACAGACAGTAGCTCGACAGCAGCCTCCGGCGGCTTTTAAGAGACGTTCAGGAGGAGGAAAAGCGCGGCACAGCGACCTCTCGCGGATTCGCGAAAACAAACACTGCACAAATACGTACCTCCCGGGGGTGATTTCGCGGTCTCCAGAAACGTCCACAGGCTACATTTCCAGAATGAGCCTGGGTTGGAGAAATCTCTCCGTTAAATAGAAATTGGGGAAAAAAATATACAGGAGGGCTAAAATATCTGTAAACAAACCTGTGTGTGTGTGTGTGTGTGTGTGTGTGTGTGTGTGTGTGTTTGCAGGTATTGCGGTGTGTAATATCCCGTCAGCAGCAGTGGAGGAGACGGCAGACTCGACTCTGTGTCACGTGTTGAATCTGTACCGCAGGAACACGTGGTTATACCAGGCTCTGCGCGAGGGCACGCGTGTGCAGAGTGTGGAGCAGATCCGGGAGGTGGCGTCCGGAGCCGCACGCATCCGCGGAGAAACACTCGGACTCATCGGCTTCGGTTAGACACACACACACACACTCTTAACCCTGCTGTACGGTTCAGACTGACTCCCCTTTGGTGATGTTGCTGCTGTTTTTGCTCCATTGACTTCCATTATAATCACATGTATTGATTGCACAGTCATGACAGCTGATGTCGGGTGTTCTTGACTGCTGCTGGTTTCCCCTGTTGGGATTAAGAGGGACAATGTGTCATTAATACTGTTGAATATCTGCTGTCGTGACTTTACAGTCAGTAAATGAGATTATAATGGACGTCAATGGAGCAAAAACAGCACCACATCACCAAAGGACAGTCAGTCTGTTAAGTGTTTCCTCTGAGCAGAGCTGAGTGTTGGTGTGTGTGTGTGTGTGTGTGTGTGTGTGTGTGTGTGCGTGTGCGCAGGTCGGTCAGGTCAGGCCGTCGCCGTCCGGGCCAAAGTGTTCGGCTTCAACGTGATCTTCTACGACCCGTACCTGCAGGACGGTCTGGAGCGCTCGCTGGGCGTGCAGCGCGTTTACACACTGCAGGACCTGCTGTACCAGAGCGACTGTGTGTCCCTGCACTGCAACCTGAACGAACACAACCACCACCTCATCAACGACTTCACCATCAAACAGGTGTGTGTGTGTGAGTGTGTGTCAGTGTCTGTGTGTTTGCACTGTATGTTTTTATGTCAGTAAGCTTGTGTGTGTTTGTGTGTCAGTGTGTATGTGTGTGTGTCGTTGTGTATATATGTGTGAGTGAGTGTTTGCGTGTGTTAGTGTCTTATGTCAGTGTGAATCAGTATGTATATGTCAGTAAATCTGTGTGTGTGTGTAAGTTTGAGCAAGAGGACATAATAAACAGTGTACAATGTAAGTTGTACGGTATAATAATCACTAGTAAGTC